AACAAAGTGAGGGGTCTACTCAATACGTCCAAAGAGCTGAACGCCTACACAAGTAAGGGGCATTTCAAAAGGCAGGGATACCCCAGAAGGGGATCCCAAGATGAGCGACGAAGACTCTGACAATGAGAGCGTCAAAAGCTTCTCCTCCACAGCCTCCAGTTCCAGAGAGGTGGTAAGGGGAATACCAAAAGTAAAGGCGAGATTGCTAATCCATTCTGGATCGTGCAAACAATGCAACACGCATTATCAGTACCTAGACACCCACACAGAGGCAGAGGGGAATGCCATGGTTGATCTAATAACATCCCACATTAGAAGAAACCATCTATATGTGGCACCCAAAACCAAAGCACCAAATAAAAGACCCCTGGACATTAGCAGCCCTGAACAGAGGGTCTCGAAGAAGGTTGCGGAGAGGCACGAATTTGCCCAGCCGCCCCCACGTTCCCCTACACCCCTGCAGAATGCAGACATACCTCCTAGCTGCACCTCCACCCCAGCTCTGATCAAGGCAACGGGATTCGGGAAGTTATTTCAACTTCCCACCAGAAATAGATTCCAGGTTCTGGAGACCAAGGAACAAGAGCCAGAACCTGAGGTAACCATCCAGAACAGGTCTCAGGAAGAAATCCAGAGCAAGGTGGCGGACACTCCACTACCCAGGACAGGCACAACCAAGGGTAAAAAAGCCCTCCCTCCCCCCATCATAGTTAAGGGAAGGCTTAACAATCATAAGGAATTCCTCGAGATGGCAGGGCGCATTACCAAGGAGCCTCTCGAGCTAAAATATGCCAGGAATTCGGTCATATTATACGCGAAAAATATGGCCGACCACGAAAGCATGAGCAGACATCTAAATAATGATGGTGCTGAGTTCCATACATACTCAGCACCATCCGAGAAGACCCATGCTTTCGTGATGAGGGGGATGAAGGGCAATTACACGACGAACGAAACCAAAGAATATCTGGTAGACCGTTACAATATGAAAGTAAAGGAGGTCTACCAGATGAAAAACACGGGGCAGGACAACCCATTGTACCTGGTCGTCACATCTGCCGAATGGACACTAGCCAAAATGATAGCCAATGTGAGGACAGTGTTCGCGTCCAGAGTACAATGGGAAGAGAGAAAAAACAGGAAGGACATCTCGCAATGTGTCCGATGCCAAACATGGGGACACACAATGGCGGGATGTCATAGGCAGAGCCGATGCTCCAAATGCGCAGAAGCGCACATGACTGCTGACTGCCCGAATCGCGACAAGCAGTCAGTGTGCGCTAACTGCAAGGGTGCACACCGGGCAATGGCTACAAGCTGCCCGGTGTATAAATTTAAAAAGCGCATGCTTGAAGAGAGATCGGCTCCAAAGCCTACTTACGTTCCTGCCCCGTTGCCCAGAAACCCTGCCTGGGGTAGAAGAGAGGTCCAGCCACCAACAAACCAGCTACCACGACAGCCACCGATGGATTACAACAGAGATTTCCCGAGAGGTTTAGTGCGCGATCGTGGGGTGCGCGAGACCACAAACGTGAATGTGCGCGAAAACCAACCGAGTGCCCAACCTCTAGCACGGTCCAACCAACAAGCACCTGTCAATCTAGGTGACACATTCGCAGCGTTCCAGGCCAAGTTTGCCCGCCTGGATTCGCTGATAATGTATGATGCGAGCATTGGACCATTACATTGGTATGCTTGAAAAATGTAATAGCGATATGGAGTTGTTCAACGCCACCCGCCAATTTTTCTTGATAGAAATTAAAAAATTTAATGTAGGTCCAATTCAAGATAATAGAGTGGAACGCTAACAGCCTCAATGGTAAAGTAGGTGAGCTCATCCATTTTCTTCATCACGAGAGGATCGACATCGCCGTAGTCGTGGAAACATGGCTGGGGGATGAAGATCGTTTCGTGGTGAAAAACTTCTCCTGCGAACGCTCTGACAGAGCCGGCCGCCGCGCGGGTGGTGTGGCGATATTGATCAGGAACTCAATCGCGTACAAGCGGATGCCACAGTGGCCTAGTGCCATTGAACACGTGTGCATCCAGCTTGCGAATGGCGTCCTGATCAATGGCTGCTACAACGCCCCGCAGACCCGTCTGTCAGTAGCTAACCTAACTCCATTCTTCCCCCAAAACACTCGCTCCTTGTTGCTTGGAGACATGAATGCACGACACAGACTTTGGCGGAATCATAGAGGCAATACCAACGGTATGATCCTAAATGATTTCGTCAATGACAGACCGGAGTTGATACTCCTCAGTACTGAATCGCCCACCCATTATCCCAGCAATAACATGACACCCACATACATCGACATTGCCATCAGCAAGGGACTCAGGGAACTTTCCGATCTCGTCACGATCAACGCCCTGAGTTCAGATCACTTACCCGTCTTCTTCACCTGGGGTGAACTTGATCCTCCCCGCCCGCAAGTTCGCCTGAGTTATAAAAACTTCAATTGGCCCCTGTTTCGGCAGACTCTCAACACCATTACCCAAATTCCTGGTCAAATTGACACCATTGAAGCTCTTGAGCAAGAGGTTTCAACCTTGACCAGGAATGTCCAGCAAACCCTAACTTCCCTTGCTAACCGTGTGACTGTCCATCAAGGCCGAGAGGAGCTCTCACGAGAGCTCATTGCACTCATCTCGCTGAAGAATCGCACCCGGAGGAGGTGGCAACACCTCCGAAGGGACGAGGATCGCCAACGAGTTCGGGAGCTCGAGGGTGCCATTAAAAATGGCATCAGCGAGCACCGGAACCGTAGATGGACACAAACCCTCCAAAACCTTCATCCTCAAGACAACTCTCTGTGGCGTCTTCAGTCCAAAATGAGGCGGCAGCCTGTGCGTACCCCTGCACTTACTAGTAATGGCAGGGATTGCGTCACTGCCCCAGACAAGGCGGAAGCTCTGGCTTCATTCATGGAGAGTATTCATTCCGGACTCCCACCCAACTCCCCTGAACAGGATGAAATCCAGCGTACAGCGGCAGCCTTTGCTATCCGGAAATACCCCATCCCCCAGCACTTGCTCGCTGAACTCATCGTCACGCCCGGCGAGATGACAAGATTTATCCGCCGGCTCCCAAGCGAAAAGGCCCCCGGACCAGATGGCATCCCATATCGAGCCCTCAAAAATCTCCCGCGTAAAGTTATTGTCCAACTGGTACAAATAACAAACGCTATCCTCAAACTACAGCATTTTCCTTTTCAATGGAAAAAGGCTGTAGTGGTTATGATTCCCAAACCTGGAAAAAACCTTACACTCCCATCCTCTTACCGCCCAATCTCCCTTCTAAACTCCTTTGCCAAGCTCGTGGAGAAGTTAATCCTGGCCAGGGTCAACAGGATCGTCGAAAACTTCTCCATTCTCCCAAACGAGCAGTTCGGATTCCGCCCTCGTCACAACACCACACTTCTTGCAGCCAAAATCTGCTGCGATGTTTTCCAAGCGTTCAACAGGCGCATGAACACGACACTTCTGCTTCTAGATATGGAGCGCGCCTTCGATAGGGTCTGGCATGCAGGCCTTATCTACAAACTACTCGCACAATTCGATTTCCCATTACACATCATCTCCCTGATACAGTCTTTCATCAGCGGCCGCACTTTCTGCGTCAAACAAGGAGACGCCCTCTCAAACTCCAAACCCATTCAGGCCGGAGTGCCGCAGGGGTCGGCACTCAGTCCACTACTGTACTCTCTGTACACAGCGGACATTCCAAAATTCCAGAACACAAATCTGGCGCTGTACGCAGACGACACCGCTGTTTATGCTCAATCCTTCTACACGCAAGCAACGAAATTTCAACTCGCCCATCACCTCTCTATCCTTCAACCCTACTACGATAAGTGGAAGCTTGGCGTTAATGGGCAAAAAACAGAGATGATATGTTTCCATAAAAAAACATACCAATAGCGCCATGCCCAACCCACTTATCGTAAATAACATCCCAGTGACCCTATCCCCGAAAGCAAGATACCTCGGTATCATATTCGATCAGAGAATGAAATTCCACCATCACGTTTCCCACGCTCTCGCTCGCACCTTCAGTGCGCAGCAAAAACTCTACTCCCTCATCGGTCCCAATTCAGCCCTTTCGCCAGGTAACAAACTATTGATTTACAAACAGGTCCTGAGACCTATGCTAACCTATGGGGCCCCTGTCTGGAACATAATCTCACTCACTCAAAGGAACCGCCTTCAGCGGTTCCAAAACCGCATTTTGAGGGGAGTCCTGTCGGAGTCCAGGTACGCCAGGATAAGGGATATGCATGCGCAAGCATCCATTCCTTATATCTCTGAGTACCTGGACGAAATCAGCGACAAGTTTTATCGTCATCAAACTCAAGGTTCTCCCCTCACACGCAGCTTAACTGCAACTAGATATGATCCAGACAACCCCATAGTTCACGGGCCGCCTTACAAGAATTTACCCATCTATTTTGAACCCCCATGAAACCTTCCCCATCCTAAAACCTGCAAATCACACACCCAAATAAGTAAACAACCCATCCAAGCACAGCTAAAACCCAAATCGCCGAGACATAATTAGACAAGAGAGATTTGGCGCTAACGCCAATAGCCTTAGTCTAAGCAGGAGACTTAGGCAAATCCAGTCATAGGTCTAATTTCAACCCTCAGTTCTTCGGAAAATTCCAACTTGTCAGCGAACTAGTGTGTAGCAAACTCCTCTTTCGCTGACTATGAGGAAACCACTTGTCTAATTACCATCAAAACACCCCCAATCCGACCAACAATTATAGGCAAAATTGCCCAATTTAGCTGATAAATGCTGATCCCAATCCCGGTAAATTCTTGCACCCAATCCCCCCAATCCTCATTCTCTGACACCCTTAAAACACCTACCCCTAGAGCTCAGCCTTTGCTGTTGAGTCTGCGTCCCTCTAGGACCAAACCGCCCACAAGGGCACAACATTTTTTGTTTTGTTTTTTAAAAAATATCAAGTAGAAGTGGGGTTTTTTAATTATTTTTCCCCACACAACGGGCGCTGTGCGCTGAGCAACCCATATCCCTGCATTTACCAACACCACACCATTTGGTAGGCCATGTAATGGCCCAGTGCTTGCCGTACCATGGCAGTTATCAGCGACCCCAGGGTCATTAAAACAGCGCGTGAGGGAGACCAGGTAACGCTGCGAAAAGAGTTAATCAAGGATAGGACAGAGGCTTTTAGGTCAAAACATCGGACCGTGCTAAAACACGCCCACACAGCACGCCAGGCGTGTCTGGGGCACAGTGCGCTGCGCCGCACTGGAGTTTTTAGTTTTAAGTTGTATGTCCTAGAATAAGTTATTGTTGTATATATTTAAGTTTGAGGGGGGCTTAACCTCCCTACCTGAATTGTACACACATAAGTAATTATTTAAATAAAGATTTTGAGTTGAGTTGAGAATTAACAAAAAATTTAATTTTGGCTTGAAACTAGAAGATTATAAATTAGATCGCGTTGCAGGGTCTACTTTATTATCCAATCGCCCTAATTTTTCAAAATAATTCATCAAATAAGCAGTTTACATGTTGAGCTAAGATCAAGTTTTCTTTGACGTTTTTAAGTAAATTGATTAACCCTGTTGCAAAAATTCTTTAAAAGATTTTTAAAATAACAAAAAATAAATTGTACATTAAATTCTTCTTTATCGTATATCGACATTATCCAACATACTCCGTTTTTTCCTATTAGTATTTCTGGCAGCAAGTTGTTTGGCGTCTACAGCCGATTGTTCGGCCTTTTTGGCGGAATCCCTGGTTTTGGCCAGTTCGATTTTAGCTAACCGAAGGTCCTTGTTTAATTGGTCCACTCTGCCTTTTGCAGCTTCTACTAGCTCTTCTTTATCTTCCAATTGTTGCTGAGAACCTTCCAGGGCATGCTGAGAGTTGCCTGCGTTTCCTGCAAAAATAAATAGTTTTTGAAAACTTATTTGGTTCAGGATTACAATAGTTTACCTTTTCCATTGGCATTGCATTTGTGCGCATTATTATTACCAACCACGAATGGAATATCATTGAGAGTGTTAAAAATATCTGTATTTACCTCATTTATAAGTTGAAGTTTACAAACTATATCTTTACATTGGCAACATTTACCTTGAGTCAGCTGCAAAGTGGTTTGCAACAGTTTCAGGGCGGTCTGAGCTTGCTGAGCAGCTTTTGAGGCCGCTTGTACTGTTTGTTGAAGCTGTTGCAGATTGGATGCTTCCTCGTTTACCACCACTTCAGCTTCTTTCAGTTGTTCTTTCAGTTTTTGAACTAATTCTTCCTTACCTGTAAGATAAAAGGATTTTTTTAAAGAGGCCGAATAAAATAATATCAAAAATGCAAAAAAAGCAGGCAAAGAAAATTTTCTCTAGAACAATGGCTTTAATTTATGAGCTTCAGGCAGATTTCATTATTTATCAGAAACCAAAGCAAGGGAACATGATGAGAAACCTGATAAGGAAAGAAGTGTGAGTCCAATATTTTGAATCAGAAACTTCTTTAGCTTTTGAGAAATTTATAGAGAAAGGACCCCGCACACGTCTTATGGGATTTCTGACAGCGGTCAAATTCAACCAAATTTTAGTATGTTATAGATCCTCACCTTTCTGATCAATAACTACCATGGGCACAATTTAATCTTATAACTAGCTTTTGAGATACAGGTAGTTCAATGTCCAAGAAATGTACTCATTTTATATGCATTTACATCTAAAGTTTGTTTCGCCAGGGTTTGTACTTGCCACCAGCATTTGCCTTCCTTGTTTAACAAATACAAATTGACTGAAACAAATCAATGACGTCAAAAACGTTCATCGTTTCTTAAACCAGAAGTCATTCATTTTTATTTGTCAAAAAAATTGAATGTTTCATATGAATTAATCTACGACAACCCTTTCTTTTTCAAGTTTCAAGGTCAAGTATGAACCCTGGTGAAACGAACTTTACCTGTCACCTGATAATATACTATGGTCAGGTATCCTCACGCTCAGGTGACAGTACTGACAGGTAGATGTAAATGCATATAAAATGAGTACATTTCTTGGACATTGAACTACCTGTATCTCAAAAATTAGTCATAGGATTAAGTTGTGCCCATGGTAGTTATTGATCAGAAAGGTGAGATCTATAACATACCTACTTAAAGTTGGTTAAATTTGACCGTGACCTGTTAGCTGAGACCATTGATAAGTATTGATGTTAAAAAAAATTTACAAAACAATGATAACATAACTTGAGTTATGTTATCATTGTACATCAAATCGTACTAATACAAAAAAACAATGTTATGTCTTTTGCATCAGTACAATTTAGGCTTCCAATTTTTTTCTATCTTCAATCGATTTGACATAACACACTTAACACCTTGAAACGCTGAAAAGCCCCACAGGATACGAATTTTCTGCAACATGTACATGTACGGAAAAAACTACCGAAGAAACTGTATTGTAACAAGCAAAAAAGAATATTAATGGAATTTTTAATTGATTTACCTGCTAATGCGGCTAGAGCAGATTTCGCAGCTTCTGCAGCTTTTTCAGCGAGTTGAGTCTTGACTTGACGTGCCGCTTGTGCTCCGGCTTGTTGCATAGCGTCTTGGGCGGCTTTCGCATCTGTAGCAGCTTTTTGAGCTATGTTGGCAGCTTGTTGTCCGAGATTTTTTTTCTTTTTTTCATCTCCCATTTCCGATATTGTCATTTCGTCTTTTGCTAAGATTGTGTAAATTAAGAGAAAGTGTATAATCAGAAAATTAAACTTCATGACAGTTTGACAAATATTACAAGGTGTACAAGGTATTATAGTCCGACAAATACCATTTTAAAGTCACGTGATTTTGGTGGCAAAAAACGTATGACCATTGATTATGTCGTTGATATCACCTACAAAAAGTTACTGGTGGTTAATAACTATTGAATTTTAAGATATGTTCCCACTAGCATTTTACAAACGCGTTTCTGAAGTAATATTAACCAATCAGATGGGAATTTTAATACTTGCAATTGTTGCGAGACTCACTTTTGACGCATCTGCTGCCCGTTGTAATTCATTCTGAACTTGAATTAGGTGCTCGTTTTCTATTTGCTTCTTTTCGAGATGGAAAAAGGTTAATATAATCGAAATTATTAGCTGTGTTTGTTCGTTGTATCATTTTCGAAAATAACTTTGACAAACTAATTGATGACAGTGACGGATTCTATTTCAGGTAAGAATTTTATGAACAATAATTAGACACCAATTTTTTTGTCAATTCTACTATCACCGCTGTTTGAGATGTATTCAACAAGGATAGAGAAAAATCACGTGACTTTAAAATGGTATTTGTTGGACTATACCTATATCCTGTTCACAATCCGATGTCCACAGGTGCAGGTAAATTTATCACCTTTCCCTATCAAATAGCATTGAAAGGTGATTTTACCTGTACAGACATCGGATTGTGAACGGATAATATATATATATATATATATATATATATATATATATATATATATATATATATATATATATATATATATATATATATATATATATATATATATATATATATATATATATATATATATATATATATATATATATATATATATATATATATATATATATATATATATATAGTACAACGTTTGGTTTTCTTTGCTTTTCCTAGCCATACTGATGAGACCTGATAGGTCGAAACGCGTCTATGATTGAAAAGCATGGAAAATCAAACCAAATATTTTCTCATTTTTATATATATATATATATATATATTTATATATATATACAGGTTTCGTCCACGATGTGTTAAAATTTCTTATGTACGCCATGCGACGTAAGCATAGTTGAACAAAGGGAGAATTTTTGTCGGTTATAGGTACCGAAACTAGTTTTACAAAGAAAATTTGTGGAAATTAAAGTCAAAGGAAAATTGAAAAAGTTGGGGTTTATGCAGGATTCGAACCTGCGACCTCCGCATTGCTAGTACGACACTCTACCAACTGAGCTAACAAGCCCGCCTGGTAGAGATCGGCGAATACATGATCACTTTCATTCTCCTCCCACTCACCCCAAACGTTTTTTCAATTTTCCAATGGCTCACGAATGTGGCATCGGTCCTGCTAGGGTAAGTCACCTATACCACTATGTGCAGGTTTCGTCCACGATGTGTTAAAATTTCTTATGTACGCCATGCGACGTAAGCATAGTTGAACAAAGGGAGAATTTTTGTCGGTTATAGGTACCGAAACTAGTTTTACAAAGAAAATTTGTGGAAATTAAAGTCAAAGGAAAATTGAAAAAGTTGGGGTTTGTGCAGGATTCGAACCTGCGACCTCCGCATTGCTAGTACGACACTCTACCAACTGAGCTAACAAGCCCGCCTGGTAGAGATCGGCGAATACATGATCACTTTCATTCTCCTCCCACTCACCCCAAACGTTTTTTCAATTTTCCAATGGCTCACGAATGTGGCATCGGTCCTGCTAGGGTAAGTCACCTATACCACTATGTGCAGGTTTCGTCCACGATGTGTTAAAATTTCTTATGTACGCCATGCGACGTAAGCATAGTTGAACAAAGGGAGAATTTTTGTCGGTTATAGGTACCGAAACTAGTTTTACAAAGAAAATTTGTGGAAATTAAAGTCAAAGGAAAATTGAAAATTGAAAACAAGCGGGCTTGTTAGCTCAGTTGGTAGAGTGTCGTACTAGCAATGCGGAGGTCGCAGGTTCGAATCCTGCACAAACCCCAACTTTTTCAATTTTCCTTTGACTTTAATTTCCACAAATTTTCTTTGTAAAACTAGTTTCGGTACCTATAACCGACAAAAATTCTCCCTATATATATATATATATATATATATATATATATATATATATATATATATATATATATATATATATATATATATATATATATATATATATATATATATATATACGGATATGTGTTAATTAATAATTAATTACCTAACTTGTTCTAACCGTTCTAACCATAAACTTGTTTCAGCACTATGTTGGAACTTTATCTATGATAATACTATTAACCCAAAAATCAAATTTAAATTTGTGAGCTACTACCTTCACTCATCAAAGGCTAGAGGAAGGCAACCTTGATCAAAATTCACCTTCGCCTTCTTTGGAGTCTATGGGAAGGTTGAGGTACCGGAAAAAAAAGGTTGAAAACTCGACCAATTTAGCGTCAGCAGAATGGACTGAAGTCCCTACGATCGCCCAAACTTCTCAAATGATATTTTGCGTATAGTCCCCCATCATCATCCTAGGCGATCACTCGATACCGAGTGTGATTTTCTTCTCTTCTACTCTTATTGTCATCGATTGTTTTTTTTTTTTCTAATGGCTATATAAATCAATTACGGAGCCGAACACTCGACCACAGTCTTGGCACACCCAGCCTCTTGCAGCATTGCATTGTGTCTTCGTCTGTTCTCTCGCTCTTTCCGGCGATCTCGTATCTGCATTGCTGTTCTTCAAAAGTTTATTGGCCGTTGTGGACTACTCGACGCCATCAGGGCCTATCATTTGCCGTCGTCTACCGGTGCCTGGTTTTGGCCTCCTCTAAAACACGCATGTTCGTCAGTCCTGCTGCCATTTAATCCATAGGATTCTTCTTAGGTAGCGCTGGTGGTGTTTTTCTAGGCCTTTTTTGTGTCTTCTGTAGGTGGTCCATGTTTCGCACTCATATTTTCAACACCGAGCCGGCTTGGGAAAATAACACACTGTACAGGGTGGGCCAATTTGGACACTTCCTTATGGAAACACCCTTTATTTTTAGAAATAGAAAAAAATTAACCCCCCACTCTGAGGCTCAAATTTCATGAAATTTTGATTGGTGCAAACCGCTTTTTGATATCTTCAACCGTTTAGCCGCTAGAGGGCGATTCTCGATTTTGAGCAATATTGTGAATCCTTCATAACTTTTTTGTTTATGAAAATAATTGATTTCCGTTAGAACTTTCTTGAAGCACTTTTTTAAGCAGAATTCAGTGATGTTCTTAGTTTTTTTCTATTTGGCGCCGATTTTGAGATATTGACCAAAGTGTGATTTTTTTCAATGGGACACCCTTTATATTAATAGCTCATTGCAAAGCTATGATTTTTCTGATTTTAATGATATAAAGTTCGATAGGTTTATCTATAACCGTTTTAGAGAAAAAAAAAATATTTTGGTTTTTGTTTTGGTTTATATCATCTCTAAAAATAAAGGGTGTTTCCATAAGGAAGTGTCCAAATTGGCCCACCCTGTACATAATTTCAATAATGAGTTTGTTACGAATCGACAAAACAGGTCATAATTAACCTGGTTAATTATGATGAGAACAGCAATAAACGGATATAAATTGCGCCGCGAGCCGCAGCAAAGGCCAGACTGGAACCAGTGCAAGTACCTCTCGTTGGGAAAGCCCCTTTGGGTATCTTCAGCCTTATCGTTGTTCAGCGCCAGTACCTCTCACTGGGAAAGCTCCTCTGGACAAGGCATAAGGGTGACGATCACTAACCGACAGTCCTCCAAGCAGCGTTCACGTGTGGCTCTCTATAAGGCCCCAGTGTTGGAAGGGTCATGCATCCTATAGGACTAGTATATATGTAAAGGCATATTTGGGAAAATATATATCTACACTTTTGGAGAGAAACTCGCTCAAGTTGTATCAACCCCCAAAGCTACAAACCCCCCATGTCACCTCCGTAAAGCGGGCAGTTGTGACAATATGTAAGTGTTGGTATTACAACTGCATTGTAGACGCGAAGTTCAGTATCAGCGCTGATGTCGTGATTGTTGAAGACTCTCTCTAGAAGTCGTCCGAACGCCGCGCTAGCATGTGATTTATATTTTTAACATTCATTTGCACAGCTTTTTGGGGTCCGTTTTGTACCTGATGGTCCTGATGCCCCGGGTATTTTATTGGTAGATAAATATTCCAAGTAACTCGGTTTTAACTACGGACATTAAAGGAAATCAAAATAAATTAAAATTCATCAAATTAAACTCTGAAACAGGTATCGGGTCTTCAAAAACAAAACCAATCAAATATTGCTATGGTTTTTTAAACGTATGTCTTAGCAATATTTTTCTTCAATTTTGTCAATGAAGCTTAATGTCAAAATGTCATGTCAAAAATCCTAACCAATGAAGAAACAGTAATGTGACGTACGTTTTCGTAACCAAAGCAATCTTTCATTGTTTTTTTTTTTTTTGAAGACCCGATACAAATAACACACATTTATGTGGAGGCAATGTTTAACCTCAATGGTTTGTTTACATTCGTGCCGCATCGCCATCTTGAATTATCAGCTGATTCAAATCGCCTAATACTGTTTGAGGTTAAGGCTGGTCGTCCTTTGGATGCGTTTTCGTCCGAATTGCATTCGTCAGAAATCGGACGAAAAAGTGCGAATGATCCCATTTCAGTGAAACCTAATGACGGTCATACATTATACCCGAAATTAGTCGTGCGAATTCGGCACAAAACTTGCGATTGCGATTGATCCGAAAAAAATGGGATTTTTCGCAGTAGTTCTGATGATTTGTGTGTGTTGTCTGTTGTCTGTGTTGCTGAGAAGATAATGGTTATCAAAAAATTGATGACCGACAAATCATGTCACATTAATTACATGAGCATGCAGAGAAAATTGTGGCAGTTGAATTGAGCTGAAAATTCTCGGAATTGTTTTTGTTTTGATAAAATATCATTACCTAACCCAGCACTTTT